TCCTCCTGTGTCTGATCAGGAGTTGGGAGGTTTGGGGGGAACCCGGGCCCGCCCTCTACTCCGGGTTCCAGCCCAGGGCCCTGTGGATTGCAGCTGTCTATAGTGCCTCCTGTAACAGCTGCATGACAGCTACAACTCCCTGGGCTACTTCCCCATGGCCTCCGCCAAACACCTTCTTTATCCTCACCACAGGACCTTCCTCCTGGTGTCTGATAATGCTTGTACTCCTCAGTCCTCCAGCAGCACACCCTCACTCTCAGCTCCTTGCACCTCTTGCTCCCAGCTCCTCACATGCGCACCTCGCTGACTAACTGGGAGGCTTTTAACTAGTTTCAGCCAGCCCTTGATTGGCTTCAGGTGTCCCAATCAATGTAGCTATCTCCACTGCCTTCTAGAAGGATCTTAATTGGCCCCAGGTGTCTTGATTAACCTGGAGCAACTGCCATTTGGTTACTATGGTACCAGGGATTTGTTTAGCCTGGGGCTAACATACCTGTTCCTCACTACTTTACTGTAGCCATCTGGCCTTGCCCCATCACAGTGGATAATCTAAGCACTATACCCAGATGTACAGACACTCTTTTCTCAACCTGTGTATTATATAATTTTAACATTAGTTTTAATACATTTTTAAATCTGTTTTTATATGTTGGTAACACCATCTGGTAGCTGTGAAGAGAATTCAGATTCATTGGTTTGTTATAATAGTGTACTAAATATGAAGATTCCCATATTTAAAGTGAGTTAAGAATATGTCTGAAATACAAGAGACCATCTGTGCAAGGCACAAATCTTTCACCATTACTCATGATCTGTAGCACCTTATTTCACATTAGCCCACTGTAAAAAAAACTTGGGGGTTAAGGGACAGACTTTTATAGGTATTTAGGTTACTAAACACCTGTTGATTTCAAGGGGGTACTAAGGTACTAGTTGATGTGAGTTATGTTGGCAGAGTCAATTGTTAGTTACAAACATAAAATCTTTGCTCTCCTATTGTAGTAGATGTTAATTAGTTATGATTGTATGAAATAGCTTACTTAGATAAAGACTGATTAGTCACAAGATATATTCAAAGAGGACGCCCTTGCACTGTATTTTCTTTTATGCCGTATAGGAGATGGGTATTTTTTGTTTGTTTGTTTGTTTTCTCTGTTTTCTGCTTCAAAAAGCCTCTGGTTTGGATTCCCCTGGGCCTTGCACATTCTTTTCATTTACACCTGTGTCAAGTGGGCTGATTAGACAGAGACACAAGTCACTGAAGAGTGTCTTGCACCAGTGCAAAGGAAGTGTAAAATGCTTTCTACTCCAAGTGGTAACATTTTGACATGCGCTGTCCACTGGTGTAAAGGACAACATGAGAGGCTGGCACTGGAGAATCAGGCCCTCTGTCTATATGACTTTTAGTTTTAGATTCACGAAACGAGCAAAGAAGGAACTGATATAAAATCTCAGTGAAGAGAAGGCAGAGAGTATCTCTTGCTCCTGAAAAGCTGCTCAGCCCAGTGTCCCAGCAGAGAGGCAGGTGAAGTTCTGACATTTCAAGATGCAGTGCACAGAAATCTGCATCCTAGCTGGGCAAGGAAGGCCAGATCCTGCTCCCATTGCTCCTCTGAAATTTACCATTAATTTCATTGCGGGTAGGATGTGCTCCTAATCTGCCATCAAATTCTTTTACACTTGGGCTCTTGTAGATTCCAGCAAGTCTGTTTTTATTTTGTTATTGTCTCAGAAATTTTCAGTGTGGGATGTTGTTTGCAAATAAGATTTCGATTGGCTCTGTGAAAGCTCTGGGATTAGGCTCTGCACATTTAGTTTCTTTAGGGAGAAACTCCCAGCAGATGATAGCTTCTTTTAGACTCAGTGTTCTCTTTATTCACAAAGACAAACAGTCACCCTTACAAAGGTCCATTTCAGAGCACTCTGTCCTCAAATCTTGCCCCTCTTTCTCTTCCATTTTAGTTCTTTCCAGATTATTAAATCCTAGATTTGGGGGGATGGTTCAGAAAAGCTGCTCACAGTTTGCACAGCAAAATACACAGGCGGTGCAGGGTGGATGGGAAGGGCACTGGACCTGTAATTCTCCTGCTTGTGTCCACACAAATTGCTAAACATTCTAATGTGATGATTAGAGGTAGAAATACATTGGATATCTATGGTATGTAAGGAGGTAGGAATTTTTACCCATCTAACACAGGCTTGCAATATATGGCACTTACCAGTATAGCATTGCACAGCAGTTGTGTTAGTTATATGAGAATGAAAGAAACTTCGGAGGGAGGCTTTTGTATTATTCTGCAGCACTGTGCAAGATGGCCTTTCACCTCGTTGATAATATGATAATATATCATCTGCTTCTACCCCATGCATTGAGAGAATGTGCTCAGGTATCTGTTCCCACTGATCTAGTCTAGAGGATCCTTGTGATTGATGTAAACAGTGTAGATAAGAAGTTTGGGAGTTTGTCCTGATTTGTGCTGGTCCCAGGCTATGGTTGGAAATGGTTTTGCAGAGGATAGCGATGCTTTCTCCTGGAAACACTGAGAAGGACTTTGGAGACCGAGTCAGCCCAATCTGATCCCTGGAATCTGCATAGGAAGGGAAATATTGATAAATAATTTGTCAATAAAAAGGTTTCTATATAGAGTCATTATTTAGTTTTGTAGATTTAAATGGTGTTTCTGCTGTTTTCTTAATTCACCATACATTAACACAAGACGACCCTAAAATGGAAATAAAGAAAAAAATCACGATTGTCTCTGAACTGAGAGAATGCTAAACCGATATAATGACACTTCCAGATTGGTATCTCAAGTTGCTTCTTTAAGCCAGAGCTCGATTCATTTGGTTCTGACCCTGGGTCCAGAGCACTAATAATCAGATGGGCTGAACCTGTGAGATCATCTTAGTGTGTCTGAGTCATATTGTTAATGAAACATAAAGAATAAAACAAAATACTTTACCTGCTCTGAACAGCAGGGAAATCTCAGTCTAATGGAATTATGCAAAATATCCAGACTCAGACCTTGTGTCCCAGGTTCGGGCCTGAGAGCTGATTTGTTTCCATCGTTTCAGTGTGTGTGTGTGTGTAGTTTTAGGTTACCATTCAAAATGCTAATTATCACAGAAATAATGTCAGATATTTCTGTACATTTAGTGTTTTTATAGGATCATGAGATCATCTTGTCAGATCTGCTGTGTATCACAGAGCATCCAATTTCACCCTGTTTCCCAAAATTTGGTAAAGCATGTCTCAAGGCATCCAGGCTCGATGTGGAGACATGAAGAGATGGAGAATCCACCAGTTTGCTCCTGTCGTGTTCTTCTGTACCAGATATGGGCTGGTCACAGAGTTTGCTTTTAGATCCCGGATATGTTTGTAAAATCCAGGTACTGCCAGGTATTGCTGAGGTTCATTTAAACAAGGTTTGTTACATACAATGCCACCTAATGGCTGATAATTATAATGCAGTTTAGCATTCTATTACTCTTCCATCAGTGGATTATTCCCACTGTTAAAATGTGCCTAATTTCTAATTGGAAGTACTCTGGCTTCAGAATTCATCCACTGGTTCTTGTTATGCCTTTCTCTGTAGAAAAAAATGAGTCTTTTAGTATCTGGTGTTTTCTCCTCTGGAAGGTACTTGTGCAATGTAATCAAGTCACCTCAATCTTCCTTTTCATAAACTAAACAGCTGAAGCTCCTTAAGTCTCTCACTACAAGGCATTTTCTCCAGGCCTCAGATCATATTTTGGCTCTTTTATGCACCCTCTCTAATTTTCCACATCCTTTTTGAACTGTGGACACCAAACTGGATGCAGTATCCCGGTGTGGGTCTCACCAGTGCTGTTTGCAGAGATAAAATCCCCTCCCTAGTCCTGCTCCCCTATTTATCAGGGATCACAGTAGTCCTTTCTGCCACAGCACTGCATTGAGAGCTCATCCTGAGTTGCTTGTCCTCTCTGACCCCTAAATCCTTTTCAGAGTCACTGCTCTCCAGAGTCATTCTGTGGTTATGGTGCTGCAGACTCTGGAGTGTTGGATCTGTTAGCAGATATTGACATTTCACTGGTGTCCATTTTGTCTGATTAGTGACTCCAGCCTTTAAAGTGGCTTCTGGTTCTGCCCTTCTGCTGTTTGTATTCCCCATTCCCAGGGAACCACATGATCACGGTTTGTTAACATCCCTCATTGATCACCAGCTGACAAATTATGCTCAAAGAATGTGCATGTTAAAAATGACAGCAAGTATATCTAGAAATTTAGCAGCCATTGCAGAGGCAGCCTCCCTCTGTAATTTAAGCCACTTTTGCAGTGGTATCCAGCTGAATGAAGTAGATTTCAATCTCTTCCTTACAACAGGCTTGATCCAATGCAGTGGAAGGTCTCTCATTGATTTCAGTGGCCATTGGATAAGGCCCTATCTATAGCGCAGAGACCCTGTACCCCATTGCAGCAGGACACTGCATAACACAGAGGTTATGTTCAAGCTGTGATTCTCTTGAGAAAGCATCTGTTACAGGAGAGAAACTGAAACCACACAGGGCAGGGAGGTTTTTGTATGAGTCTGTATCACTGTGAGAGGGAAGCTAGCACCCTGCTGACAGTAATAATCTCCAGCATCTTCAGCTTCTACGCTGCTGATAGTGAGAGTGTAATCGGTGTAGCCGCTCCCAGAGCCACTGCCACTGAACCTGTCTGGGATCCCAGAGGGACGGGTGGAAGCGCTGTGGATAAGGAGCTTAGGAGCTTGTCCTGATTTCTGTTGGTACCAGGCTATAACATTGCTAGTGCTGGAACTGGCTTTGCAGTTGATGGTGACTCTGTCTCCAGGAGACACTGCCAGGGATTCTGGAGTCTGAGTCATCACAATCTGCCCACTGGAGTCTGAATTGAAAGGAAAATGTAAATTAACATAATGCATGAGTCAGAACATTCATGTTTTCACTTTAGTTTTGTATCATAGTTTATCCTTTTCTCTCAATTAACTAAAATTATGAAAAATGAATGCATTTAAAAAACAAAGAATGTAATACATTTGAGATTGAGCAATCTATTGTGTGTATGTATGTGTGAGAGAGGTTTCCAGGGCTCAATCTCCCATTATCCCACCAGACCAGTGTTATCTCAAATGGAATCTTACCCTGGATCCAGAGCACTAGCAGCCAGATGAGCTGAGCCTGTGAGATCATCTTGATACGTCTGGACTGACCAGTGCTGATCAATAAACCCTAAAGACTGTAAAAAGGGACTCCATATATAACTGCTCAGAGCAGCAGGGAAATCTCAGGCAGACGTCAATATGCAAAGCGTCTCTCCTCAGGCCCTGAAAATGGAGAAATGATTTGTTTGCATCATTTCAGATGTTTTGTCATTTTTATTGCCATCCCTTATGACAAAGTACTGCCCATACTCAGAATTCCAGCGTCTGCCGGGTGTTCAGGGTGAGTCTGATATGTGTCTATGCTGCCACCTAATGGGGATGTTCAGCTCCATTAGTTTGATCCCGTTGTGCATAGCAATGAACATGAGATGTGTGTATGGAGATTTAAGAACATGACCCCTGTTATACAGCCAGGGCTGGGTTGTGCATCCTCTAGGGGACGCTGTGGAGCCGCACTGCCCCTGTAGTAGCACTGAGAGGGAGTCTGTGCTGGGGCTGATCAGTGGCCTGGAGGGATGCCCCTTAAGCCATCCTCTACAATGGAGCAGATCTCTCCCCCTAGGTGTGTCATCCCCTCCCCACTCCTTCCAGGTGATTGGTCACTGCGTGATGAAGGAGCTGAGCAGTCCCTGCTCAGGTGAGTGGCCTTTGTGCAGGCTGTCCCAGTGGCAGATACTCTCTACATGGCCCACCCCTCCTATGCATCTGTCCAAGGGCCACTCTCGTTCTAGCCACACTGCTAGTCACACAAGGGCTGGCACTTCGGGTCTGTTGTTTGAACAGCCTTTCATTGAGAGTAAATCCTGCCACCCCCTCCACAGTGTGGACAGGCCCAGAGTCAGGGATGCTGTGGGCCTGCTGCTCTGGGTCTCAGGGTATATAGCCCTGTACAGTGTGGAGGGAAATATTGCAGGATCTCCATTTGCTAGTTGCTCTTGGGGGAGAGAGGGGTGCATAAGCCAGTCCACCAGCCATTGCCATTTCTGGAGTGGAGATACTAGGATACAGTGTGGAGGGAAATATTGCAGGATCTCCATTTGTTAGTTGCTCATGGAGAGAGGGGTGCATAAGCCAGTCCACCAGCCATTGCCATTTCTGGAGTGGAGATACTAGGACCACAGAGCTTGCACCACCCTAAGGCTGGTGTAGAGTTCTCAGCGCAGATTTGCTGTCCCTCTGTACCCTGAGACAAGGCTCTGTCTCCCTAGCATACCCTCTGTGAGCTCCCACGTGCCCTAAAGGGGGAGAATTGGAGCTGTAGTGACTGAGTCGAGGTTTTTAGAACCATTCTGCCTGCGTAAGGGAAACTCTGGAGGGGAAGCACTCAGGAGTGATTGATCCCTAAAGTTGCTTTTGAAAAGAGCCCCCAGAAGAAACAGCACATGGGGCAAAGGGGTGTGTGTGTGAGAGAGAGAGAGGGACTGCTGAAACTAGCTGCATGGCACAATAATGTGTCCTTTGAAAGATCCCAGCTTTCTGTGTGCAGCCACATTTCCTGCATCCCCACAAGCTGAGGCAGCCACATTGTTCCCATCATGGTCCAAAAAAACCCCCAAACATCAAATTATTCTGCTCCTTACAAATCAGCTGTGAAAGAACGCTGGCGCTAAAAGTGTAAGGGACTGACAACTCACCCTGAAGTCTATGGGTGTCTTTCCACTGACTTCAATGGGATTTGGATCAGAGCCATAATTCATAAAGACCTGGAGACTCTCAGATAAGATAACCAATGGGAATTCCTGTTCATTGGCAAACCTTTAATTTGTAATAACCAAATAGTGACACTGTGGAATGCTTGTGAATAGCGGGACTAGCTGTCTTAACTGCAGAGTAAGGAAGGAGATGAGGCTCTGGCCCAGCCATAGGAAGTGTGTTAGAGTTTCTGACAAACAGCTCAGCTGTATCTACACACAAAGCGGGCCAGGATGCAGTAGGCCTTTACTTTGCTCTTGTTACCGTTGAGCAGTGATGCCGTTCAGAGAGTTTCACGCGCTGTTGCAGTTTTCAATTGTGGAATGAGTTAATGACCGGAGATCCTTCCTGTTTTGATTCAGCATGAAGTCAGTGAATGTGGCGATGGTTTGACACCCAACTGAGACGCGTGCAGTGGTGAGCCCAGTGCGCTCCACAAAGAAGAGGGAGGTTTTCTATTGGTCTGTATCACTGTGAGCCTGGCCAATGCCAGCTTTGGTGACAATAGTAATCTCCAGCATCATCTGCCTCAACAGCACTTACTTTGTGAGTGAAATCAGTCCCAGACCCACTGCCACTGAATCAGGCGGGATCCCCGGAAGGATAAATAAGGAGCTTTGGAGCTTGCCCTGATTTTTGTTGGTACCTAGGCATGTTACTGCCAGCTCTAGAACTAGCTTTGCCGCTTCTAGCAAATTTGTCTCCTACAGACACTGTTTGGCATTCTGGAGTGTGCGTCATCACAATCTCTCCATAGGGGTCTGGATGTAGAAGGAAAATCCATAGAGACCTCTGACATGTTGTTACAATGACTAAAAGCTCAGGACTGTTTTTAGAGACACGTTTAGGTGAAGAACGTATTAAGGTGTAATTCATAAAATACCGAGATGTTATTTTCCATATTTTAGATGTTGTTCCTGATGCTACGTTGCCTCAAAGCCTGTGTTGTCATTATTGTATACCTGGAATGCACAATACAGGTACCCAGAGAATCAGTCTGTGAGATCATCTTAGCAGCTCTGGAGTTGGCACAGTGATCAGGTACCTGTGTGGTTTTAACAGGCGCATTTATAAGAGCTCCGTAGCACAATGAACAGATGTCGTTTGCATGTCACCATGCAAAGCTCCTGTAAATGCACTTCCTATCTGGTGTTTCAAAACATTCACCTTTGACTGGGTGGTTTAGTTTTACCAGCCTGGATCGTACCCTGGAGATCCGTGCACTCAGCTTCCCTTCCAGGCATGGATCTCCCCATGACTGTGTGCAGGGATGATCCAGCTGCCTCCAAGGCACCTTCCCCATTTCCTCTGCACTCTATGCAGGGTTTGCTCTGGTTCTGGAATCTGCATGGGAGAAGGTGGTGGAGGCTGGGCAGGTGGAGGGGAGGAGTAGGTGGGCAGTGTATGGGACCAGAGAGTTCACACATCACCTCCTTCCAGCCCCATAGAGAATCCTTGGAAGGGACACTCCAGCCGCAGTGTCAGGGCAGTGACAAGGAGCCTGTGCTACAGTCAGCCTGTCCCGGGTGTAGAGGAATGTGAGACTGTGAGAATGCTCTCACCAGCAGTATTTTGCTCTGGGATTGTTTGCAGAGAGATTCAACTCCTGATCCAGCTGAGTGCACATTACAATCAAGAGACATGCTGCCAACACGTGTAAAGGGCTCCTACCGATGTCTCACTTCAATCCACGATCCAGGCAGGCACATTTATAAACCCTTTACATTACAAACTATGCCTGTTAGAGGGTTTACACAGTGGTTTGTGTCTTTGCAAAACTGGTGCTTTTGATTGATTTAGGCATTGAATATTGCCTGTAGCCAGGGTATTGCAGTAGAATCCAGTCTGATTTCTTTCACAAGGGCACCGCTATTGGCCGTCACTCAAGAAAAGTTGCCCTCATAATTTCTGGAACAGATTAGAACGTTTATTGTTGTTACCCTCATCCTCATTGCTTCCATCTGAGTCCCCAAAGCACTGATTGGATGGGACTTTTCTGATGAGTGATTCCATGTGCATCATTCTAGATATACTATTTCATGTACTGGACAAACAAAAATGAGTTCAGATTACGGTTGCTCATTCATTCCCCGACTTACACACCAGCTGTGAAAGAATGCTGGAGCTAAAACCTTAAGGGCCTGATTTCAAAGCTCATTGAAGTCTATGGGGGACTTTCCTCTGACTCCAGTGGGCTTTGGATCAAGCCCATAATTCATAAAGCTGTGGAGACTCTCAATGAAGATTGTCATTGAACATAAACTCTGATTAGCTGACACTTAATTAGTAGATGTCCTAACTGATTAGCGACTCGGTGGAACACTTGTGTATTCACTATGAATTAGAGCACTTTGATGATCTTTGGAGATCTGTGGTTTACCATGGATTACAATTCAGTGGCTGTTGTGGACGCCCCATTGACGATGTGTTTGTGATTAGTTCTGTTTGAACTCGGGCTCTGCTGCAATTCAGCTGCCAGATCCTGATATTTGGCTACTTCCCAGTAACTCTTCCAGCACCTGTCTGAGGTGGTTGGGTAGGAGGAGGCACCCGCCCGTCCCTGTGGCCAGTGTGGTCACTGTCTTTCATTTCTTCCTCCTGGCCAGATTTGTGGTGGTCCAGGCCATGCTGGGGAAGGATGGGAATTTACAAGAAGGCTCCACTTCTTTTTGGTTCCTCCCTGTCACACACAATTCATCTTGTGCCCTCCTCCTTGTGGGCTGTTTTATTCACACCCTTTCCCAGCTGTTCCTCTCTTACCTGCCTCTCGACAAACCAGCCGCTTGCTGCTGAGTGAACCGAAGACCCTGGAAGTCCGTAGTGTACAGATGAGCCTCTAGGGGGTCCAATCCAGCACCCATAGAACTCAATGGAAACACTCCTGTTAACTTCACTGGGCCTAGAACCAGGCTCTAAGAAGCAGATTTTTTCAAAACAACTCAGCTCCCATTTAGGCGTCTAAATATTGGCTACTCAACTGCTTCAAAGCAGGTGTGGCCTGATTTTCAACAGACCTCAACATCCAACTTGCTGAGCTCTGTGGAACATGTAGTTTGTGCCTAAATAGGAGACGATCTCTTTGGAAAAAAGTGGCTCATATTTATTCATTATTATCATTGTTATTCATACTGCTGTAATGCCTCGGGGCCCCAAGGCCCCTTTGCACTAGGTGCTGCACAAGCATTGCTTTTCTCATTCCTCCCTCTTGCAGTTTTTGTTTTAAAAGGATCGCTCGGCCTGTCTCAACAAACTTCACTTAACAGAGCCATTTAGAGCTAGCTGTTCTCTGAGCTCTCTGTGTGGACAGTAGAAGTGACAGTGGGAGGAGTTTGTTGT